AGGAATTTGTAGAGAACTATGATCGTCTATGTCCATCAGGAAAGCGGTACATAGAAGAAGACATCTCAAATGAGGTGTTTTTTGTTGTTTAAAATGTTACTCATCCGTAAAGACAGATCGTTTGTAGATATAAACAATGTAGACATAAGAATCAACACTACATGAAGTGTTAAAGTGCCAAAACTTTAAAGACAGCTATCTAATAATATGCAACGCCTTCCATCTATTGATAAGCAACTTGGCATACGGTGTTGCCCCAGCTGCGTGGGTATATCTATCCGGGTACGTTCCAGGTTTGTCTCTAGCTGAATTGTTCTTAAGGTTTGGCTGTAGAGAAGTTAATACGAGATATGCAACACGTCTAATATATGCGCAATGGGGTTTAAATCTGGTGAGCGTCGTTGCTAGTGTCAATGTTGAAATGAAATGAACTGTTTTCAAATACTTAGCATTCGTTAAATGAAGAATTTGATTTTTTTAAATCAGTTTACACTAAGCAAAGCAACAATGCCACTGGGACACAAAGGGTTGCTTGGAGTGAAAGAGAATGAAAAAAAAAAAGACTATAAAAAAACCGGAAACCTAATCCCAAAAAAGAAACAAGGGATAAACATTTACGCCTGTTCAAAAGACAGAGGAGAAGTGTGAACCGGACGATAGTGTCAGTTGAAATTTATAAAATGTTTTTCTTTTTCTTGATAAAATCAAAAGAAGAATCTGCAATATTAATGGTCCTGACCCAACATCTCGCCTTCAGTCATTTTCCTATTGTCATGATGTAGCTTCTCTGTGTCTTTTCTATAAATTCTTTCATGGTAATTGTTCTGATTAACTTTCTTCTATGGTACCTAGACTTTATTAATTTAAGCAAAGTACTAGATTGGTGGTAAGGTGTCATCATTTTACACTTGGGTTGGATGGATGTAACCGTAAGTTCTATACCAATTGTTTCTTTTACAGCACTTCCCGCTTGTAAAATTCTGTACCAGCTGCTTTCTTTACAGTCAAAATTTAAATGCAATGTCAATCGTTATCTACTGTTTTCTTAATTCTTGTTCTTTTATTGTTCTATCCCTTTTAAAATGTTTCCTCATATTCTCTAAAAACTCCGTAAACCGCTTGCGTCTTAGTAGCTTTGTTGGTTTGCTTAGGGCGAAATTACTTAAAAAAAATAGTTTTTTCTTGAAAATAAGAATTTTCACATCCAGCTATCGTCTTTCTCGTATTGTTGGAGTTTCCTTTCAAGCCTTTTGTTTAAGGTAGCGTGGAAAGTTAATACCTTGATTACATTATTTTCTCTTCTAGTTACAGAAATCTTCAGATGAGGTGTTCTTTGTTGTTTGGTACAGTTCTTTGTGATATTGTAACATTAGGGTTTGATAAAAATTTCTTTCTTTAAGATTTAAAGAATTCTTTAGCTTGAAGCCATTTTAATCGGTGTTCTCAATTTAGTCGAGTGTTTCTGGAATCAGTTTTCTGACACCTGCATATGATGGAAGGGAGTACGTTACCTTTCTCGAGAACAAACCATCACAACCGTGATATATAGCGAGTAACATCCGATGCAAATATTATTCAACACGATGTGTGTATATCACACCTGGCAAGACTACAATTCAATAATGTCTCTGGCGAACTTCAGTAGGACACATCTTACATCATTAGAGAGACACCACCTTGAAAACATCGTGACAACATCCAAAGAAGAATCTGCAATAATATGGATCCTCACCTGACAACTCGGATTCCGTCACTTTCACATCTTTGTAACGTAGCTTCGCTGTGCATTTTCTATAGTTTCATAACAAATAGTTCTGATGAAATTTACTCTTTCCTACCGCGACTCCATGAATTTAAGAGTAGTACTAGGTTGGCAACTAGGTCTCATCATTATACATGTTTCACCTCAGGCAAGGCGATAATGTCACTAAGATGCAAAGGGTTATTGGCAGTGGAAGAGAATGAGAAAACATGAGTAAGAAGAAAGGACAATAAAAGAATAGGTTCATGAAGACAGAAGATAGCGATTGATATTGCATTTACATTTTCGAAGATCGTAGGTAGCAATCCAATCATCCTAGGTCAAATGGAGTTAAACAGCTATGCTGGCACAGCTACACTGCCTCTTTACCTATTGCGTCACATCTACCTCATGCGGCTGAAATTATTTCTACAAGCTAAGGACGGCCAAACCATGCAGTGCGCTATTTTTTCGCGCTTGTGTTTGCGCACACATGTATGTGTGTGCGTGTGTGTGTTATGATATCTGATTATAAACATAAAAATATAAGACCAGCTGCGCAGCCTTAAAAGTTTTAAGCGCTTAACTGTGGTTGCAACCACTGGGCCGAACCCATCAGCGCACATCTCTCGCTGTGTTTACAAAAATGTTCTCAATAACCTTTCTTCATTCACTTTCCTTGGCTGAATCAACAAATAACAAATCCATTTAATGAGATGGGATATTCTGTTGCGCCATCGAGTAATTTCGACAACATCTGCCGAAAACCTATCCCTCCTCAGCGTAGTTGCGCGATGTATATCTCACCGGTCGGACAGCTTACCACACCATCGAGTCCAGTGGTCCTGTATCCGACAGAATTCTTGGGATGTAGGCGGAACGAAGCCTGGGTAGAATCAGACGTGTTGATAAGCGAGTTCCAGCTTCTTCTCTGATTCCTAGATTGATTTCAGACCACCTATGCCTTGCCTAGTTTTTTTTTCAAAAGAAATAATTCCATTTATATATACAAACACAAACACACACACACACACACACACACACACACACACACACACACACACACACACACACACACACATATATATATATATATATAGAGAGAGAGAGAGAGAGAGAGAAAGGGAGAGAGCAAGTACATAGTATACAATTGTCTTAGTGGTCATGCACACGTTTCTGTACGTAGAGAGAAAACTGGAAAGTAGGAACCAGATTTTACAGAAAGAAAGAAAGAATTAACCAAAGAATTAAAAAGAGACAGAATAAAAAAAGAAAGAAAGAATTAAAAGAAAGAAAAAGAAAGAATCAAAAAAGAAAGAAAGAAAGAATCAGAGAGAGAGAGATTTAAAAAAGAAGGAAAGAAAGAATTAATGAAATAAAGAAGTAAGAAATTAAAGAAAAAAAAAGAAATAATTAAATTAAGAAGGAAAGACTTCATGAAAGTAAGCTCAGTAAGAAAGAATTATTATAAAGAAGAATTAAAGAAAGAAAGGAAGAATAAAAGAATTAAAGAGAGGAGGAAAAAAAGAAAGAAAGAATTAAAGAAATAAAGAATTAAAACAGAAAGAATAAAACAGAACGAATTGAAGAAAGAATTAAAAAAGAGAAAGAATTAAAAACAAAGAAGTAAAGAAAGAAATAATTAAAAAAAGAAAGAAGTGAAAGAAAGAATTTAAAAAATGAAGAAAGAGTATTAAAGAAAGAAAGAATTAAAAAGAAAGAAATAAAGAAGAAGAAAGAATTAGACAAAAATGAATTAAAAGAGAGGGAGAGAAAGAAGGACAAATTAAGGAAAGAAAGGTAAGTAAGAAAGAACGAAAAATAATTAAAAAAGAAAAAATGAAAAAATGGATCAATTATAAAAGAAAGAATTAAAAAATGAATTAAAGAAAAAAAGAGTTAAAAAGAAAAGAATTAAAGGAAGAATTTAAAAAATTAAAGAAAGAAAGAAGGAAAGAAAACATTAAAGAAAGAAAAGTAGAAAAAAAAACTGCAGAATAAGCATATTTTCAGCTGATAGCAAAACCATCAGGTAACGATAGACAGGTAGATGATGTATCTTTAGCTCGAAAATCCGAATGTATCACTCTTGGTTTTATCCTGTCTTCAACTCTAATGGTGACATCTGCGAAGAGGATAATCCTAAATCGACTCATTTCTGCTGTGTGGCGTAACGGTGTATCTGCCAGGAAAACGGAATTATTGAAACGTGTTCGAATTTCGACTGAGGCTGTTTAGATTCTTTTTATATACTTGCATGTTCGCAATATTTTAGTAGTGGCTGATTTTTTTCAGCAGACAATTATCTTCCAAACCCCCGTTAATACTACTACTACTACTACCACTACTACTACTACCACTACTACTACTACTACTACTAATAATAATAATATCAATGCGGGTTATTGTCACAATATTATCATTATGAGGGTGGGGGCATTTAAAATATAGAGATAACATTTAGTTATTAAATTTCTTGTTATACATTGTCTTAAATATTTTTTGTTGGATAAATAAAAATGAAAAAAAAATCATTAAAAAACTGAAATTAAATGGCCAATATAAAAAAAAAAGAAAGAAAGAATTTTTACGCTTCTAAAATTAAAATATGCAAGAATAGGATGTATTTTGTTTTCAGTGTTGATGTTTTTAAAACAATGACCGTTTTGTTTCGTTGTCAATAGCTTTTTTAAAAATTTCAACCAATGAACAAAGAAGGTTACTGTGATATTTGCATACATTTCTACCACAATTATTACAGAGGGTCTTGTCTTTACGGTCACATGTTTGCAATACACAACAATATGACGACTAAAACCAGGAAATCCTTGCAATTACCTGACAGAGGTTTTCAGAAATCTACTGCACTTATTATGAAAATTTTATTTACCACTTGTTAAATATCAAGGAAAAACGTTTTGTAGAAGTTTTCGAAAAAAAAACACACATTACTAACAAAGAGATAATGTTTGGTTAAGTTTATCTTCTTTAACAGCACATCAACATCCTAATGGGTTATTTAATACCGAAAACTAAATATTTTGTACACAATTTGGGAAGATAATAATGATTTAATAATGATTTTAGTGATACAAGACTTACTGATTAACCCATAGCTGGGGGAGAATATGTAGATTCATATCTTTCTTAAGGGTATTTACGCGTAAGTGAATATAACGAACCAAGCGCGAATTGGATCTCGGCTCTCCAATTAACAATACAGGTCTATTATCCATAACACCACCCGCACATTCGAGTTTACAAAACCTAGCATTACCAAATGGTCACCTATGTAGGTACTGACCAGGCTCGACGTTGCTTAACTTCGGTGATCGTACAGGAACCAATGTTTCAACGTGATGTGGTCGTAAGCCTAATGCTGTTTTGCGAATGGAGGTCAGAACAATAGCAAAAAAGGGTCAAGCAGATGTTTTGACTAGCAGGTTCATTTCTGTTGTCTTTACGCTCATGCGTTTGTAAATATGATGTTTATAACCAGAAAGTTCTTGTATTAGGTTGGTGCAAAAATAATGACGTAATAATGTCGTTTTTCGACGTACTTTTCTACGTCAAAAAACGACATTCTTACGTCATTATTTTTGCACCAACCTAATAGTTACTTAACAAAAGGGTTTAAAAAAAAAAACTATCTGACTACTGAAAAGGTGACTTGCCACTTGGTAAATATTAAAGGAAAAACATTCTGTCGGTTGTTCATATATCCTCACTGTAATAAAACTTCGAAAGATGGGGCAACAAAAAACATTTTTAGGTTGTTCAGACACCCCTACTGTAAACAACAACAACAACAAAAAAACTCCGAAAGGTAAGAAAAAAAAAATTACCGAATTCACAACGTTAGTAGGATAAAAGCAAATGGTAATTTTAACAACGTATATTTTAGGTTTTAGTAGTAATTCTTTACTTGATGCTAACTGAATTATATTGAAACTTGCAAGCAAGAATCCAGTCACTTGTCCACGTTGCGAAGATTAAATAGAAAACATGAAATCATGAAGATTTATTTTTTACTAATATATTTAAAACTGGAGACAAAAATAAATAAATATACGGTTTAATAAATAAACGGAGCGTCTACTTAAATACGAGTATCCACTAAAAATAATGATTAAAGAGATAAAAATTTGTCGGATTAATAAAACAAATCCATTCTAAAACTGTGTGTTTTCGTTTGGATACGAAACAGTGCAGATAGAAAAAACTTCGAGAGACTCTATGACGGGAACAATTTCACTTGGAGGCACTAAATTTGGCTCTTCGTGGCAAAGATGGTTAAAGCGTGCCGATATTAACGGTAGGTTCTCCTGCCCTGAGAGACGCAAGTTAATATCCTGTCGGAGCGTGCAAATTTTTATTTAATAGGATTTCTCGGACATTCAGGCCGATATATATATATATATATATATATATATATATATATATATATATATATATATCTTCAGAAGTGACCTTTACCCATTATCTCTTTGGTTTTCATCTACGGTAATTTTCTATTCGGACTGGTTTATCCTCGAATTACGTTTTTTCATTACACAGACACAAAGCCTCAATTGCGGCATTGTAAAGAAAAATCGGGCACATGAAGGAGCTGGTGATACGAACATGTCAGCCATTATTCGATGACGAGTTTCTTTGTGATGTTATATTATTTAGCTATGGTAATTGATTAACTAATTAGCCTGAGAACGGAAAAGAAAGGTTAAAAAATGATATCCCGAACGATATACCGTTTGATATAAAAAGATTTATTTTTGCTTTAAAAAAAGTTACTTTTCTCAAGAAACCAAGGATTTGCGTCAACGATAAATTCACAGAGAGGCAATGTGGCGAGATTTGGCGTTTTATTAATGATGAAAACACAAGAACCAGAAAGCGTCGAAGATATCATTCGAGATCGCAAAGGTTTTAGGAGTTGGCCAAGCGACAAGGCCATGTGTTATTTGTAAGACGAAAAAGGGAATAATTCTGTACTTAGAAATCCTGAATAAGCAGGGATGTCAAAGAGTTAATTAATGTAACAATCTTAGCCACACTCGCACGACCGAGACGCCATTGGTCGGGTGGTAGCAATAGTGATAGGCGGAGGTAAATTGGTAAGAAAGACGGGGAAATTACTAACGCCCACCGAAAGGAATTGGTATGAGGTACCAATGTAAGAAGGAGGGAGTTTAGGAGGATAGCTATCCTGCAACCTCTCCTCATGGACGAAGGGATACCCACCAAAAATGGAAAGTAATTAATTTTCCAAAATGGGAAGTAATCAGTTTTCCTAGTCAAACAACAAAGGGGTGCCTTATCAGAAATCGGGAATTACCAAAAACCCCAGGCTGCGTCTAACCTCGCAACGGTTTTTGGTCGATGTCCATATAAGCGAGCGTCCTCGGGCAGTTCGCCAATTCAGTTCTGTTAGCCAGTCAGAGTTTAAGAAATTCGCGCGCAGGAGCGAGCTGACAGAGAGGTTCCACGATTCCAGCCTCCGACCTCGCTTTTCTAGAATACTGACGAATGAAGCTAAGCCAGAACCTAAAAACTAAACCAGTTGATTTAGAAGATCAGAACTTGCCTAGAAGTATAATAGCGTCACTCTTAGAAGAAAAGGAAGAAAAGTGTTGGGAAGAATTCATACTCCTCTATAGAATAGACCGATAAAAGCTGATTTACTTTCTTTCAACATACCCGAACCTTTTTCTGGTTTTTAACTGTTTCCTTTTACGCTTGTGCGACATCATCTCCAGTTTAGACTCATCTTGCACTACGGTCCGATGCCTGATTGATCATGTCTACCTAAGATCAAATCACAACGTGAGTAGGTTAGACTTGAGATCGAAGTAGTTACTTCGGTAACCAGTCATTGGAAGTGAGCTGAGAACGACGGAGGTGGTGTTGTACCGGTTGTAGCTGGTGTGAAGCCGTTAGAATCGACCGACCATTTGGTACACTGACCAAAGGATCCCGCCGGGTAGCGACGACCGCCGATCGACCAGGTCACATCTTGATGGCAGCGACGAAGAGTCAACTCCAAAACGCTGGTAGGAAAAGTATCACAGCTTCACGCCGCGACTAGGAGTTGACTCCCAGTCGACAAATTTGTGTCACAGTGAACTCAGTTTAAGTTGATTAAAAGGGTTGAATAGCAAGAAATTTACTCAGCTAATCTATATGTGTTTTGGGATCGGATATTGTTGGGAGCTTATGCTCAAGGGTTCCACTATCAGTGGTGATTACGTAGGCGCAATTGAGAAGAGCAGGGTCATTTTGACGAGAAACACAAAAGCCAGTGGATTAAAGCATTGAAACATTTGGTACCATGGTCGTTGAAAGTTCAATTGCATACATATACACATATTTATCTATTTATTAAAGACATTTTTATTTATGTTTAACGTTGTTATTTTATAGATACAAGTATTTAAGCAAATGCTCTGTTTATGATAAACAGTATTAAATAACATTTACCGGCCTGAATGTCCGAGAAATTTTCATAGAAAATATTCGTTCATAAACAGGATTCGAACCTGCATCCTATACGGAACATTTCTTAACATATGACGTGCCTTAACCACTCGATACGCCACCATTAACCTTATGGTTGGTCAATAACACTAAATTGTAAACTACCTTCTTCCACCATCTCGTACATTCATGGTGCTCTGAGTGGTTAAGGCACGTAAACGTATATGACGGTTCCGTATAGGATGGACAGGTTCGAATCCTGTCTATGAACGAATATTTTTATGAAAATTTCTTTTTTCAGGCCGGTAAATGTTATTTAATACTGTTTATCATAAACAGAGCATTTGCTTAAATACTTGTATCTATAAAATAACAACGTTAAACATAAATAAAAATGTCTTTAATAAATAAATTGTCGGACCTCGTCCATTTCTTAACATATTTATCTATCTATCTATGTTTTTTCATTATATACCTATCTATCTTCATTATCTACCTATAGATGTGATTTCCTTCTCCATCTATAGATCTCTCTTCATTATCTATTTCTTCATTATCTATCTATCTATCTATCTACTATGAACCCATCTCTCTTCATTATCTATCTATAGATGTGTCTTCATTATCTATCTATAGATGTCTCTTTATCTATCTATCTATCTATCTATCTTCATTATGAACCTATCCCACTTCATTGTCTGTTGAAACAAAATTACAATTCTTGTAGTGATATTATAACATGCATATGTTATAATTTTGAATGAATATTATTTGCTCTGCTCGCTATTGAGCACTCTTTTAAGAATAGTGTTTTTGGTTATCGGAATTTTATTCTATCTATACCAGCACTGTCCTTGTATATATATATATATATATATATATATATATATATATATATATATAGCATATCTTTATTCAGATAGGTTTCATTGAATTATACAAACATATTATGTCTATTTGTTTTCATAATAATCCTTTCTAGTTCTCTAATTAGCTTCTTGATGATGGAATTCATCAAATAATGCACCGTAGTTTGCATTTCCTCCGAGATCATCCTCAAGGCTGAACTGCGAAAACAAAACTATCAATTCTTGAGAGCCTCTATATCAATAGCAACCAACCAACACTGAACAGAATTTATTACGAGTGTAGCAGCAATATTTTAAAATGCATTTCTCTAACATTTAAGACATTTTGCATTTCTACCATCTCTAGTTAGGTACCTTACATTGGAACGCTTACCATAGCTAGAACGGATAAATTTAAGATTATTAAATAATTATATCAGATCGCGTTCTAAAATCACCATCACAGCGATCTCAGTTACAATAAGTTCGTCTTTGCAATTCACTCCTGATGATGATCTCGAAGGAGATCGAAAGTACTTAGTTTAACAAAAACTATGGCGTCTTCTTTGAGGAATTTCAATTTAACTTCACCAAGCTAACGAGAGAACTAGAAAGGATTATTAAAAAAATAAATATAATATTAAAGATCTTGCTATAGATAGATATATAGATAGATAGATAATGAAGAGAGATAGATAATGGAGAGAAATCTATAGATAGATACTGAACAGAGATCTATACATAGATAATGAAACATGCTTGAATAAATAATATATATATATATATATATATATATATATATATATATATATATATCAACGCTCAGTAGAAAGGAAGGTGAATTTTTGTGACCGAGAGTGGTCAATTCATAGAAGAGCTTTTCATTATCAGCTGTAGTAGTCACTGTATATATATATATATATATATATATATATATATATATATATATATATATATATATATAGCGATTAGTATGTATATATATTAGTATGTATATGCAAATATGTGTAAGCAAGGACATATAGGTTCACAACTGAGGTTTTTAAGGA